TCAAATTTACCTTTATTTTAATCGTAGAAACTAAAAATGTAATAATATACAGGGTGTTCCATTTAAAAAAATACAACTTTGATATTTTTTACTTATTTGGGACACTCTGTATCTTGTCAAATTATTTTTAAATTGTACCTCTAATAGTCCTTCATCGAACCCAAAACTTGAAATTTGTAAAAATCTAATCGTTTAGCTACAATACCGTGTCGTATGTGGTGAACAACCCTGTATAACCCGACTTCCTTATATTTATTTAGATATGTAAAAATTAAAGGTTAATTAACTGTAGCTCTTTAAAACACATCTCTATATTTGCTGATCAAAATAAAAGAGTACCAATATTCAACGCGAGCCACCTGTTCAGAGGTACCTATCTCAAGGCATAGTACCACTCAGTAATAAATTAAGAAAATATCCGAAGATCGGGCGTGAAAACCACTCGCTACTGTTTACCTTCGAAGGGCATATTCACTGATAGTATTTGATGGGTGCGGTGGTACCTACGTACGACCATCTGCCACATAGGTATCTGAATCGAGCTCCGCTATATTGTTTTCGCTGTTTTTTCAACAAACATGAGCATTTTTAAGTAAATATCCCGAGCTACCGAATAACAAATGTTTTTAAATGATAATTTAGGTAGTTTTTGGTGGAAGAGATTCATCTTGAACGTTTGAAGGTATTTTGTATTTTTATTTTGTTGTTTCTGTTGGAACTTGCCTAAAGAGTTTGAACAATTTCTATTACAAGTCCCCCTGTAAAATGGTTTAGAAATATGTTAATTTATACCTTGACATAAGTAAGAACAATATTTGATTTTCACGGTTTTTTTTTAACAGGATACTGTATCTTCAACCTTAAGAAACAACGGCGAATGGAGATGCTTTGGGGAAAATGGGGAACACCAAAAAACCTTCAACCTTAAGAAACAACGGCGAATGGAGATGCTGTGGGGAAAATGGAGAACACCAAAAAACCTCATTGCTGGGTGCGCCAAGACGACAACCATTCGAGCCATAAATTTTGGTACGAGTTTGGTCGAAAATGGAGAACTAACCTCTGTAAAATCGTCTCAAATACTGGCTTTGGTCAAAGCCAGTATTCAAAGCCCTAGAATTTTTTTAGAATTTAGAATGAGTGGGAGGGGGGTTAATCACTTCGACCTTACAGATCCATTGTGTCCCCCTTTCTTGAATCATAACTCATCATACAGTCCCAGGGCTTTGACAAAAGCCAGTATCTGGGACGGTTTTATAGAGGGTAGTTCTCCATCTCCAATATGAGTCGTACCAAGTTCATGGCACGAATGGTTGTCGTCTCGTCGGCACTCAGTGATGAGGGTGTACTGGTGTTTCCCCATCTTCCCCACAGAATCTGCTTTCGCCGTTTCTTCTTAGTTTCAATCTACTTAGGTGATCATTGAGGAGACAGTGTCCTGTTAAAATCCCCGTGACAATCCGAAGATTGTTCTTACTCAGACCCAGGAAGATCTGTGATTTTTCTTGATCATAAGCCCTCAGAAACTTCTTCGAGTGTCTTAGACCATTGCAAGATTTCCATTCCAGGTTGCGGATGGAATCTTCCAAGTTCTTGAGTTCCGCCTTGAGTTGGTTACCACTTGGAAAGCAGAACGGTTCTGGTCCAGTTATTGGAGTGTTCGCTCCTTTTCTAGCTAGATCGTTTGCTTTTTCATTACCTTCTATCCATTGGTGCGTTGGCACTCAGATTAGGAGGACTTTATTTTCTTTGCCTAATTTGTTCAACTTCACTATGTCTTCTTTGACCAATTTCGACTTGATAGTTACTGAGTTGATCGCTCTTAAGGCTGCTTGACTATCGGATAAGATGGCTATTTCTTGTTTCGGATAGTTCCTATCTAATATAAGTTGTACGCATCTTTCGATAGCGTAGATTTCTGCCTGTAGGATACTAGGGTAAGTGCCCATTGGTTCGGAGTATTTAGCTCTCGGCCCAAACACTCCGATCCCTGTTCCCGTATTGGTTTAGGAAGCATCAGTATACCAAGTTATGGTATGGTCTTTTAACTGCTGGGCAAGCGTTTTGCTCTTCCAATCCTTTTTATTGCCCAATACTACATTGAGATGTTTCTCAAAGTTGTAGGTTCTTGGCATATCGTCCACTGGGAGTTGCAGGAGTGGTATTTCCTTTATGAGGGTGTTCCAAGCCCCTGATCTGACAATTCTCCCAGTACTAATTCCGTTAGTGACCATTCTAATCATTGTCGCATTGGCATATATGCAATGACAATGTGCAGTGGTGTTAGATCTAGAATGACCTCCATTGCTGCTGTTGGACAGGTTCTCATGGCTCCTGTGATGCAAACGCATGCTAGTCTCTGGACTTTGCATAGGTTTAGACTTGCCGTCCGTTGCTCTAGTTTTGTGTACCAGGCAACTGCTCCATAAGTAATCATGGGTCTTACTATCATGGTATACATCCAGCGCAAAATGTTAGGGGAGCAGCCCCATCTATTTCCGGCCAGTCTTCTGCATATCATGAGAGCCTTTATGGCTTTGCTGGTATTCAAAGCCCTAATATTTCCCCCCTTTCATAATCAATAACAATATCAAATATAAATAAATGGCGTGTCCCTTTGAACGATAAAGCAGTGGCGTTTTACAAAATATATGTTTCATATTTTTTACATTTCATTTTCAGCGGCAGGATTTTTTCAAGAAACGCATAGATATACGCTTGCTATTATACTAGAAACCTTTCAAAAGCAGGACAAACAGAAAAAATACCATCGCTTGTGTCAGAAAGCCGCCTAAATTTACATAAACAAGGACCGTCCGGTCTTCTTATAGGACTAAATCCGGCCTAACTGGCCTAACACAACGTTTCGAGTGTGTACTTTGAGGACCACTCTATTAGAAACCTTTGAAACGGTCGGATCAATGGAGTATAGGACCACCACCTGTTCAGATAGCCATCGGGGTAGGTATATCATATTCATTCCGTTCTATTGTAATCACGTTAATGGTAAAGTATTTTTTAAATTCCAAGAAATTTAGGAAATTAAAAAATGCTCTATCATTAAAATGCATCTTTTCTGGATAGTTTGTTTTTTGATTTATATTAATAGCTTTGTTTTTCATGGAGATATTCGCTTTTGAAGAAGGCAGTATTATTCATATCAACTTTTGCATTTCTTGTTTTTATTTTTGTAGTCATCAACACACTTATGAAGTACTGTCACTGAAAAGTCATATTAGTGTTGTTTGTTGACTTAAGTCCAGAAGTTGTATCGGCAATTGATACTTCAATAATTGAACATCGTAGAGATCAACTTCTGCACTTAAAACCATCTCATCTAGAATAACTACCAACAAACAATAACATAATAACAATAATAATGACATTTCAATCATACCGTATGATCGAAAAAAAAACGGCGTCAGCGATGGCTATGAAATGAAGATCGATGACATTTTCCATATAAATTTACATATAAAATGACAGCGATTTTTATTTCATAGCCACCGCTAAAGCCGCTTTTTTTTCGATCATACGGTACTTACATTTTTTTTACATACTTCAAAGATGTGTTGATGGGGTCCAACAGCAATAATAATGCTAAAATTGCTGTAAATCTTCGATGTCTTCTTCAAAAACGAATATCTAAAATTAAATTGAAGTTATTGAGATGAACTAAAAAACAAACTATCACGAAAAGGTACAACTTGATGACTAGGTGGTTTTTAAATTCTTTACTTTGTTAAATCATTCCACAGAGTGTTTTAAACCTTCGCTAAAATAACAACATTTTGTTTTTCCTCGTATACAAGACAGATGGGCTAAAAAGTCAATAATTTAGCTACAAATTGGTTAAAAAATCATCAAAATCTGCCCACTAGAACAAGATACAACATGATCGAAAAAAAAACGGCGTCAGCGATGGCTGTCAAATGAAGATCGCTGTCAATATGTATGTAAAATTATATGGGGAATGTCAGCGATGTCCATTTCCAAGCCAACTGGACGTCGTTTTTTTCGATCATACGGTATATTGAACTTTAATATACATGAAAATTTTAAAGTGTCTGTTTACATGAAATATGTCTAGAATTTTCTGAATAATTCGAAAATTGAATACCTAATATAGTTGCATATTCATATGACACCCTGTACAAGAAGTTTTTACTAATTAATTAAGTTTTTACTTTTAATTATTTTTTATCAAATAATGTATTTTATTGATACACACTGTAATACTATATTATATAGGTGTATTATCGAGTAAAAAAAGGAGCGTCACAGTACCCTTTGAATTGACTATTTCAAGTTTTAATAAACTTTGAGCAACCTAAATAAATTTTTTATTAAAAATGGACATATAAATACCTGTCAAAAGTTAATATTCAATCTAAAAAAATATTCCAGACAGGAATTATCATCCTTTTTCATTTTCAAAGTCCACTTGACGCCGTTTTTTTTGTTTCTATTCGGAATTTGACCCTTGTAAGTGATATTCTTTTTAAATAAAAGTATAAATTAATAATTTGAGTAACTACCTGTTCATTTGAGTACCATGCCCTGTCAGTACCACCACATTCCCGCGCACTTTGACAACTTCTTTCTCGAAAACCCCATTTCTCTCCTTTTTTCTCACCGGCACCGTCCATTTTCAAACTCATTACCGCTCATCTCCTGATGGTACTCCATCATCTTCGAGGTACTCACCAAATCAAACCGGACGTGCGAAACAATAATCCTCTTCCGCGCACTCACCGATTTTTAAAGGGTTTGTTTTCTCCATTCACTCGCGATTTCGCCAAGTCCTGAAAAAATCCTCCAGAATATCCCGGGGGCGTGGCTCGTTCCCGAACACACCGCCATGCAACGGGAATCGATCGAGGCGTTTAAACCGTCCCGATTGGTCGGAAAGCACGAAGGCGGTACCGTTTCGGGCCCCTTTCGATCCGGGCCCCCTTACAGACTGCCCATGTTTTCACTAGTAACATTGCGGCGCGGTAAGAAGCAACATACTCTGTTTTTACTTAATCGCTGTGTAAACTTGCCCATGTTGTGTATCATAATATTCGCCGACACGATCTGTTTTTCCAAGACCGGGCATAGTGAACCGTAGTGAAAACATAACACCCTTTGCTTGAATTATTATTCTTTTCCGGGAAAGATGCATACGTTCCTCACCGAACACCAAAGCGCCTACAACCGCTACGGATACAACTCCACCGCATCCGTTACTTCGAATCCTTACTACGAGCAGTACCGCTATGGATACGCCGCGTGGCATCATCAGCAACATCCTCTCACCACGGCAAAAGACATGGTCAAACCTCCTTACTCATACATCGCACTCATAGCAATGGCAATCCAGAACGCTCCCGAAAAAAAGATCACACTTAACGGAATCTACCAGTTCATCATGGAAAGGTTCCCGTACTACCGGGAAAACAAGCAAGGCTGGCAGAACTCAATCAGACACAACCTCAGTCTCAACGAATGCTTCGTCAAAGTACCTAGAGACGATAAAAAACCTGGAAAAGGCAGCTATTGGACTCTAGACCCAGATTCCTACAATATGTTCGATAACGGCTCATATTTAAGACGCCGTAGACGTTTCAAAAAGAAAGACGCCCTAAGAGAGAAAGAGGAAGCCATCAAAAGACAGCAGATTCATCCAGAATCACCCAAACGTGAAGAAAAACCTCTGGATGACCCCAAAACAAAACTAGGAGAGTGTAAACCTAAACGCGAACCAAACACCGAACTCAGTCAGTGTATGAGTGCGAAATACGGCGACCCCAAGTCAGTAATCGTTCACCAAGACCACGTTTTAAGTGACGTAACCGCCTCGCTCCAAGCAATAGACACTGCGGCAGCATTTAGTGTTGACAGCCTCATGACCAGCAGAGATCAAGCATTAGCTTACACAAACTCAACAAGACTACACTCATCAGGGGGTATGTACTCTTACTGCCCCACTGCCACGCCTCAGCATCAATACAACATTGCTGACGAGGCTACTCCAAGATACAGTCCATGGTACAGTCCGGAAACATCACCAGAAGCTGCAACAACCCCCACGGGCTACCGGGAAATAATTTTCGATGGTAGTACTGCCCCCAGCTGTCAGTTGGCGAGTTTCAGGCACTCTGGAGTGTCTCCTTCACCTCCTCACAACTACAGGAGCGTGTCTACTGCTCCGTACTATCAGGCGGACTGTGTAGGACAGAAGTACTGAGGGTACGCTTATTGTTTCGATCATGTAAATATAAAGACTGATCCTTATTAGTCGAAGGAGAGGTGGTGAGTACTGTGAGGGAGAGTGAGGGTTTTTGGGAGGACAGATCAAAGATTTTTGCAATATTTAAATGATTAGTCGTACATAATAGGAAATCCGTAAAATACTGTAAATTAAATGAATGTAGAATTATTGTTGTACATCCTGAGTCTAAACTTTTCTATTTCGGTTTCATTGTTTATATAACCCGTTTTTTTCAGTGCAAATAAGCAGTATTCTTTGAAGATGTTTCAATGTTAACTAGCAATTTTTTGCAGTGCAAATAATCAGTATTTTTTTCACTGTTTATTAACCACTTTTTACAGTGCAAATGATCATTATTCTTTGATGATGTTTCACTGTTACTAGCTACTTCTTACACAGTGCAAATGATCAAATAATAATATTTCTAAAGTTAAATTAGCAGTATATCAATAAAGTATCTGTTTTAAAATATTTTTTAAAAGTTAGAGTGCAAAAAATCTTTTTTTTAATAGTAGAAGGTTTTCACTGTTCTTAGGATTTTTTAACATGGCAAATGATTAATAATTACACTTTTATTGGCTAAAATAATAGTTAATTACCTTCAATAATCCATTACAAACGGTTTTTAGTGATAAGACAGCGCCAATGATCTTTTTTTTTCACAAGTAAAATGTTTCATTGTTTTTAAAAACTATGAAACAGTGCAAAAGATCAAAAAATAAAACATTGATATAAAAAAATTGCACTGTATCCTTTAATTATTTGTTTTCAACGTTTTGCAGTGCAAGTAATCAATTTTCTTTTAATATATAAAGAGTTTCACTGTTCCTTGGCAATTTTTCAGTGCAAATGAATAATTTACGATAATATTTTGATGGGTAAAGTAGGCAATATATTTTAAAAATATGCTTAAAACTGAGCAATAATTATTAATTAATTTAAACAAATATATTGTGCATATAATTTAGTGCAAATAATAAATAATTTGCACTGAAATTTAAACAAATATTGTTTTTAGGACAGTTTTTAATAACAATCTGAATTGAAAATTAATCATCTAATTCAATACAAGATGAACAATTTTGCTTGAGTTATTATTTTTGTTTTTTTTTGTATTAAAGTCAGTCCAACGATAGGATATCTGACGTTGACAGTTGTTGCTTGTCATTTTACTTCACGAGTAAATTGAATTTTCTGTCATTTACTGTCATGTCGTCTGCCGATATTATATTGATTATACTGGATTATATTGATTGTTTGCACTGACGATTCAGTGAAGGTATTTTTTTTTAGATTTATTTGCAATATTCCTCATATTATTTCACTCACAAAATGATCATTATTGATTATAAAGCTCCAAAATAAATATTTGGAAATGATTAAGATTATGTTTGGTATTATGTTTTAGAAAATTCATTTCAATAGAGTAAATATATTTAAAAGTAATTATTATACATTTTTATAACATATCTTTTATAATTCCAATGCAATATATGTTAAATATATTATAAATGTAAGTAAATATAACGTAAGAAACAAAAATTAAGAAACCGAGGTAGAATGTTAATTTTTTAAATGATTTTTATTAATTTATGCAAAATAGTGATAATCTCTTGTATTAAAAAGTGCAACATATAAATTCAAATATAAATAAAACCATAATAGATTATAGTATTATGTGATTGAGTGCTAGAGGACTTTGTACATTCACTGGCTGCTTGATACCTTTTTTTCGACACTTTGTGATATTTGTAAATTTTTATTAAATATTAGGTAATAATAAATGTAGATGTATATTACTATTATAATAATATAATTTAATATCATCGTATCATCGAAAAAAAACGACGTCAAAGACGAGCTGGGGAATGACAATCAATGATAATTTTTGCGAGGTCGATCTCTAGATCTCATTTACTAAAAATTGACACACACACAATACTCATTTTTTCTCGAATTTTAAACTACACAATCTAAAGTAAGCCAGGTAAATGAGGCCTAGGGCTTGACCTCGCCAAAATTATCATCGATTGTCATTTCTCTGCCGTCTTTGACGTCGCTTTTTTTTTTCGATCATACGGTGTATAATGATGTGCAAGATTGTCTATACTTTTTTAAAATTAACTGATTGTTCTGAATAGTATCTCGTTCCTACCATATGTGTATTTTCGCCATTCCTATTCATCATGGATTTCATATAGTAAAAGTTTTAAATAAATAAATAATTATATATAATTGCATTTAGTCTATGTCAAGATTGTTATATATACACACCTGTTTGATGGTATAGGATTTTTGTACATAGTACTGTCATTTTGTAACATAGTCTATAAGTCATATGTGTACGATAAGCACCTCATATGTATATTATTTATTGATATATCGTATTATTGAAAATATAAGCAGATTTGTGAGAACAAAGATGTGTTTTATTTTTGAGACCTTTATGTATTCATTTATATCTATGATCTATGGTTATGGTTATGGAACAAAGAATATTTGAATGTATTTATTGTCTTATAATTTTTTTCTGTATTAAAAAAAAAGAAGCTATATACTTAGTAGGTATTTAGCTTTAGACAAAATCCCTGAAAACATGGATGATTCTCCTTGAGAGTCCCTTAAAAATACAAACTTTTCAAATCAAATCAATCCTAAATCTATATAAAATTTTAGACACAAAAAGTGTAGTTTCAGCTGCTTCAGAACTTTTTTATTTTTTTTTTAAATGGTATACTCGTAGATTACAGTTGAATGTTGGAACCTTTGGTGTTACAAACAGCAAAATAAAACACTCATTCAGCACAATACACCAAAACACTTAACTTTTGCACTAGACAAGCGTTTCACTAACCATCATCAGCATATGATTATACCTCAAAATCAGTTTTAATTATCTGCATGGTTAGCGAAACGCGCGTCCAGTGTGGAAAAAAGTCGAAAAAATGTCCATTTTTGGCTAGTTTTTACACATTTTCAAGGGCCTGAGAAACATACTAAACATACTCCTATAATTATGAAAATTTGAGGATTTGTAGGAAATTTTATGTAGATTAAGAATGTGTATATTATATGTATCTTTAAAGGTTTAGATTGTTAGTTTTATGAGAAAATTAACTTTTTGGGTCCTTATTTAACTATTTTTGTTGATGGCCTCTGGGATGGTTAAAATAGAGCCTCTATATCCAATACTATTCTCGTACGACTACAATGACCCATATTTTCTTATTCTACACCTTTTAATTAGTAAATATCAGTAGTTTTAACAAAATCGGTGACATAACGATGTATAGAAAAATGTTGAAAAAATGACACTGTTTGGCTATTTTTTTACACATGTTCAAAGGTCGTAGAAAAATGGTAAACATAATCCAAAAATTATGAAAATTTCAGCATTTGTAGAAAATTTTACGTAAATTCAGAATATATGCACCTCTAAAAACTTAAACATTTTGGTTTTGTGAGAAAATTAAATTTTTGAACCTTTGTTTTTGAGCTACTCACAGGCCGAAAAACGGGCACTATAAAGTTTGATGTATTTTAAACTTTAATATATTTTGTTTCAGTGGGCCGATTTTGATGATTTTTTAAGCAATGTGTAGCTAAATTATTTGACTTTTTAGTCTTATTTTCTAAATTAAAAATGAAAGCTCCCATCTGTCACTTAAACGAGGACAAACAAAATGTTGATATTTTAACAAAGTAAGAAATTTAAAAATTATTTCATCGTCTAGTTACGCCTTTTTTGGATTTGTTTGTTTTCGATTGATTTTTCCCTTGTACTTTGCCCTCTATTATGAGGCGCAGTATTTCGTATCTATCACCTCTCATCACATGACCCAGGCAGGGGCGCAACTAAACATATACTTTTAGGAGGGCTCAAGTCTTTTGGGGGGGCTTAGGCTTAGGTCACTATAAGATAAGATTCATGTGAGGTTGAAACCAATTTTATACGACACGCACTGGTTATCTGGGGGGGGCTAGGCCCCCTGGTTCTCCCTTGTAGCGCCTCTGGACCCAGGTATTGCATTTTTCTTTCCTTGATGGTGTTCAGTATCTCTTTTTGTTTCTGCATGCGCTGGAGTACTTCATCGTTGGCGATCCTTTGTACCCATGAGATTCGCAGCATCCGTCTGTACATATACATTTTGAAGCCTTCTATCCTCCTTTCGGTCTGTGAATTTAGTGTCCAGCTCTCACATCCCTAGAGTAACACAGAGAAGATGTAGCATCTGGCCGTTCGAGTTCTGAATTACGCACTGAGGTCATTTTTAATTTAGAAAGAGTTAATAAAAAGTCAAATAAATTAGCTACAAATTGCTTAAAAAATTAACACAATATACAGGGTGCTACAAATTCGAGGTACGAGCATTGGTATCTCGGTAACCGTAATAGACACGAAGAGGATTAAATTGGGATAAAGTTGTGCTTTGGGATATTCACCAAGATGCCATCAAAAAAGTTTTAAAAATTTCAAGGATTGCTGAGTTTTTAGGAAAAAACGGATTTTTTTGAAAATGAATTTTATTTTTTCCTGTCGTTACTTTAAAGAAAATCAAAAAACTAATTCCACATTCTCATAGCCACTTTATTAGGGCTATCTGATAGTATTTTTAGATTTTCAAATTAGCTGATAATTTGTGAGATACAGAGGCCAACTTAATTTTTTTAAATACGGACCTGCATTCTTATTTTCGGTTTTGAAAAAACTCATCAGATAGCCCTCATAAAGTGGCTATAAGAATGTGCAATTAGTTTTTTGATTTTCTTAAAAGTAACGACAGGAAAAAATAAAATTCATTTTCGAAAAAATCCGTTTTTTTCCAAGAAACTCAGCAATCCTTGAAATTTTTATAACTTTTTTGTTGGCATCTTGGTGAACATCCCAAAGCGCAACTTTGCCCTAATTTAACCATATTCGTATCTATTACGGTTACCGAGATACCAATGCTCGTACCTCGAATTTGTAGCACCCTGTATAAAGCTTTAAAATAAATGAAAATTTTAAGGTGTCCGTTTTTCGTGCCGGTGAGTATACATTTTACACATCCTATAAAATTTAGTTGCTCATTGTAGTTGATTTTATAGATTCTTTTTTGAGTTTATGAAATGAAGAGGTAATTAATAAAAAACGATATACAACAAAATCAGTAATTTTTTTAAGAGAAATGCACTTTAAAAAAAAGAATTTGAAAATAAACATTTTTATAAACTCCCCCATTTCCTGCTTACCGCAATCTGACCCTTCTACACGAGAAAAATCATTTTCCGACCCCCTTGCATTTTCTTCCCCATACTCTTACCAAACCGACAAAACCGAAATCTAAAATTCTAACGAGCTACGTCGCTCCGTGAAAGAAAGCGGTGGAAAACTTTTGCCTGGGAAACGGCCGCACGGAGGAAATCCGGCCTGGCCGTTCTGGCGGAAAATAATAAGCGGAAAACGTCGGAAAATGCGGGGAAACCTTCGGCGGCTCAATGAAAAGCCGCCAGTATCTCATCTAAATACTTCCGCGGTCTCGACGTAATGCCGTGCATATTATACGAAGCACAATATTATCGTTTCTTAAAACCTTAAGCTTGGATTGGGCCGATTTTCCAGAGTTTATTGTTAAACTGGATCGCGATTTATATACAGGATGGTCCTGTTTTTTATAGTGATGTTATTTTAGGCAGAAAATGTTATGTTAAGATGGAGCATTATGTGAACAGATTGATCATTCTTTCTTCATGCGCTCAAAAAAGATTAAGCTACTAAGGCGAAAGTACCTGTAGCATTTTTTATTTCCTTTAATAAAATTGAATTTAAAAATCTATTTTTATTTAAATTTCTTAGTATTGGCGCCATCTATTTGCTAGATGCCAAAGATATCAAACTTCATTTATTACAGTTCACTTGTCTTGTTTATTAGCGCCATCTATTCGCTATATGCTAAACTTCCTTAATTGTATTTCACTTGTCCCGATATTTAATTTTTATTAGCGCATCTATTCGCTAGATGTCAAACTTCATTTATGACAGTTCGGTTCTGAAACTGAAAAGAAGGTCTTTCTTTCTGGGAATTTGGATCTGAAGAAGACGCGCGTGTCGGCGTCCGACAAATTTTCCAGTGAAAAGCACTCTGAATCCACTTTTCAATTTCCATTGCATGGGTGTCCGATTTGGAGATTTGAAAACCTTGTAAAGTATGCAATCCAGAGTATGGATCGTATTTGTTTGGTTTCTTCTTGGAATGATCACCGTAAGTTTATCCGCCATTTTATATAGCCCTATCTAACTAAATTCTATTTCAGTTATTTCAGTTTTTTTATTTCGTTTATTTGAGTATTTAATTACTGGTTTGGATCGGCATATGGTTTGAATATATTTATGTAAAGCTGATTTTCAGACCGTAAGTTGTTTTTTTTATTGAGTATCTGTCCTGAGAACTATTTTTTATTTATAGAGTAACTACCACATGGTACTCAGTAACTACCACATGGTACTCAGTAACTACCACATGGTACTTAGTAACTACCACATGGTACTCAGTAACTACCACATGGTACTCAGTAACTACCACATGGTATGCAGTAATTATTGTATGTTTCACCCACTTTCATTTTGTATGGACCTATGCAGATCTTAAGACAGTGTTCCTGAAATTACAATCGTTCTTTTGGCTGATGTCGAAGACTTCTCCTGCCATAGTCATCTGCATCCACTTCTGTTAGTCTGGAGAATACCTATCTACCTATTTACATCATAAGAAACTATATACAGATAAGTCTTAAGTTTGATACACAAGGTACGCTTTTATTTTATAATTTTTGAGAGAACAGATTTAATAACCTGGTAAATTATCACTATTTATCCCACATTTTGTAGTCAAAATTATTTTTTTATTTAACGTTATAAGTTATAATTTGATTCGTACAGTACACTCTTACTTAGCTATGATATTTTATATGAAAATTATTAACACGTATTCATTTTAAGGGTTTTTGTACACGACATGTTTCGAAACATCATCGTATTGAGACATACATAAATTTCACCTGTTTTTATTAAGTATCTTACTTAGTTCACAGAATACAGTTACTAAATTCGAATCTATTTAAAATAACTTGCGGTTTTATTGGGATCACTGTGACTAATTAATGATACTTGTGTTCGTTTTCAATAAATGTTTAATGTAGGATAGTTATTTCTGACTTTTATTCCTGATAAACATAATAGACCCTTAATGCTGTTGATTACTTTATTTCAGCTATGTTGTGATATCGTATTTTCCTTTTTGGTTTCTTACTTTACCACTCTCATAAACAAAGTAAGTGGCGCCCTTTTCACTGTCTTTGACCATACCTATTAACATCAATATTAAAATCTCTGCAGCCTATATATTATCATTTTTTATTTTAATATTT